AACCCACCCTTCATGACCTTTGAACTTTCATCAAAGCTCAACGTTATCCCGTGGAAACTGGATGAGGAGGTTAACGTGAACACCTGCGTTCGGCCTGGAGTTCAGATGGTTAAATGTCTTGGGTCACTTCTCAGAACTCAACATCCAAATGTAGAAAATAAACCCTTGAATGAGTGCCTTTCATGTCAGAGTTGTGTTGAGAAATGGAGCTGTAGCCACTTTGGTTAAAGCTTAAATGGCACATCAGTTAGAGCTCAGAGTACGTGTTGTGAATGAGTCTCAGCTACTACCATCCCAAAGGTTAGCTCAATATCTGTGAAATTGGCCGAGTTTTAGCCATTTTTGTTTTGGCTGTTGTTGCTTAGCTTTACCTCCAAAAGTTAGAGTTGTAGCTGCATGTCCGATTATTACTTCATGAGTTTTATTAAATGCCATCCAGTGGTCCATGAGATATTTTGCTAACAGAAGCTAACATTATCATAACATTAAATCTAGAGAAAAAGTAGCCAAAGTCTGAAAAAAAGAATATAAATGGAGACCCTGATACCAAACTGGATCTGGAGTTTTCTGTTCTATCATTTCACACCATCTGTTCTCCTGGTTTGTTCCATGTCTCTGCATGAGAACAATGTTCTGGAGGTGTTCTCCTGCTGGCCTCCTCCTGTTTGTCTGAAAGCGTCCCAGCGAGCACCAGCGGGGTCTGGACCTTTAAGCAGCGCCGCCTGCGGCTCATTAGGGGCTCCTCTTCTGGTTCTCTGCAGGCCTGCTGGGTACACCTTTACACCAGAACCTCCATGGCTCCCTGAGAGCAGCTGCTGACTGACAGGCCCGGTTCTGCTCTTTGATGGAGCCAGAGAATGTCACCGTGGTTGGAGCGACTGTTTGGCCTGAGTCTGAGCTGTGGCAGAAATAAAAAAAACAGCTAATAAAGAGATAAATGTGCTTTAAAAGTTGGTTTTAAAGAAGTTTTCAGCTGTTTTTAAAGGACTGAGAGGATATTTATGCTGGCTTCTGATTGGACAATGATCTCTTTGTAGGAGGTGAGAATATCAGGTTAGGTAGTCGATGCAACAGGTCCAGGAGAGTGACCCAGACCTCCTTCTCCCCAGCTAGGGGACTTTCCAGCTCATTCTGGGGGACCCTAAGGTGTTCCCAGGCCAGAGAGGATACACCATACCTCAAGCGTTTTTATTTTTTATTTTTTTGGGTGGGGGGTCTTCACTTGGTCTTCCGACCAGTGGGACATGCCGGGAAAACCTCTAAAGGGAGGCGTCCAGGAGGCATCCCAATCAGGTGCCCAAACCACCTCAACTGACTGCTATGAATGCAGAAGAGAAGCAGCTCTCCTCTTCCCCTCCACCCCGATGAGCTCCTCCCCCTGCTATCCACCCTATGAAGAAGCCCATTTTGGCCACTTTTATCCAGGATCTTATTGTTTAGGTCATGATCCAAATCTCATGACCCTAGGTGAGGCTCAGAACATAACAGACCAGTAGAGCTTTGCCTTTCGACTCAGCTCTTTCTTTCGTATTAATAAAGTATTTTTGAATTGAATTGAATTTCTTCACCATCACAGACTGAAGCAACACCCTCATTACGGAGAATGAGGTCCCAATTTGTTGATCCATTTCCTGCTCCATCCTATCATCACTCAGGAGCAAGATGCCCAGACATTAAATGCCTCCATCTGAAGCAAAGTCTTCTCCCCGACCTGGATGGGGCATTCCACCCGTTTCTTGTCCAAAACCATGGTCTCAGACGTAGATGAACCGACTCATTCCAGCTGCTTCACACTCAGCTTCGGCGCATGCTGAAGATCTTGGCCTGAAGATGTCAATAGAACCACATCATTGCATAAAGCAGAGATGAGACCCTGAGGTTCCCAAACCAGACAACATCCTTTCCCCAACTGCATTTTGAGATCCTGTCCATGAACACCACAAACAGGATTGGAGGCAAGGGACAGCCCTGGTGGAGTCCAACCCGCACTGAGAACGAGCTCGACTTCAAGAGCATGTATAAGCAAACACCTGCTCAAACACAGCTCCTATTTTGGTTCTACAGGGACTGGATAGCCCTTTAAAGTAACCCAGGCACATAGCCCATACTCCCGCAACAGCGCCCCCCCCCCCCCCATGCACACAAAATGCCTCAATGAACACATTTTATAAACCTTCTCTAGGTCCACAAAACATGTAAACTGGAGAGGCAAACTCCCATCACCCCCATAGCAACTCCACAAGAGTAAAGATCTGGTTCACGGCCAGGACTGAAGCCACACTGCTCCTGAATCCGAGGTTCAACAGCCGGTTGGAACCTTCCAACACCATGGAGTAAACTTTTCCAGGGAGGGTGAGAAGTGTGATTCCACAATAGTTGGAACACACTCGCTGGTCCCTCTTTTTACAAATGGAAGACACCACCTTGGTCTGACATTCCACATGCATTGTCCCAGTCCTTCATGTCACATTGAAGAGACATGTCAACCATGACAGCCCCACAACATCCAGAGGCTTCAGCATCTCAGGGTGAATAATGTCCACCCCTGGCACCTTGCCACCAAGGAGCTATTTGACTACATCAATGACCTCTGTGATAGTAAGACTCATCTTCCCTTGAGTCATCAGACTCTACCTCCTCAAAAGTGGACATGGTGGGTAGATTTAGGAGATCCTCGAAATGCTCCTTCCATACATATCCTCAGTCCATATCAGCAGTCCCCTGCTCAAACTAAGAACAGCTTATGAAGGGGCCCACTTTCCTTTTCTGCGTTGTCAAATGATTTTCCAGAATTTTCTTGAGGCCAACCTTGGTCTTCTTATATTCCTCCCATGCCCAAGTTTTTTCATCTGCAACTACCAAAGCCGCAGTCCCTCTGGAATGCCATCTGCTCCCCCAGGTGCCCTAGATGCAGCTCTCTGCTCCACACAGAGGACTGTGGTAGCTCGGTGGTCTGTGGTTGCGGCAGGAAGGTCATCCGGCGTTAAAAACAATTGCCAACTTTTTGTGTGTGTTAGTTAGTTGTGGAGACCCCTGAAGAAGGGAGCAGCCAATAGAAGAAAAAAGTTTGCTTGTTACCGTGTGCCAGGACATTTTTGGTCAAAGATTTTGGATGTTTTTATTATTATGACTGAGAACATTTTCTTCCCCTCTGCCCTGAGAAGAAGCCCAAAACAAGCTGAAACCGTTCCCAAGACGTTATCTTATCTCCGCCCATGAACCATATGTTTGTGTAAACTGAAGGTGCAGGGTAAGAAGATTCCGGCTGGCTTCAAGGACACCCCCTGAACTCTGGAAACTTGGCTGAGCTGAGAGTATTGTAGCTTATTTCTGGGACTGGTCTTCATGCGTAGACATCTATGTATATTTATATATATATATATATATATATATATGTTATGTATGTAACCTGTCCTGAAATCATACTTGGCAAGTAAAATGGCAGATATAAATCTTAAGCTCCGTAAGTTGTGATTCTTTTGCGCAGGCTAAAAACGTCAGAGAACAAGAGATTTTCCTCCAACACAGTGAGTTCTTGTTTAGCGAACACTCATTGTTCTTCACTCGTTCTTCTTCACCACTTGCTCTTGCCAAGGTCAGATGCTTCTCCCCTCCCTCTCCGCTTTGCTTTGCTGTTGTCTGTCTGTGAAACTGCTTCTGAGCCTCTCTTGCTTATCTTCCGAACCATAATTATGTACTTGATTTGATCATTTGGTCCCTCAACACAATTGATAACATTTCTTTCAAGAGAAGACAGGCTTTAGGCGAGTGGATTTGCCCTGTTGGCACGCACACAGCTGGATATCTCATCGACTTGAAGACTTGATGATGTCTATTTCTTCTGCATCTGTGGATTTTAAGGACACATATTTAATTGGATTTACGATAGCTGGTTCCTGCTTTTTGGATTTGGATGGTTGCTGGTTTATCTACAATCAAGGAAGTCGTCTTCAGCAAATTGGGACCCGATCACGCTGCTTGGCTTTATGATGACTTGGTTCGTGCCAACTGATCAACAAGAGGAAACCAGCTGAATAAACATTGTGTCATCATTTCAGAATTCTTGGATTCCCATAGGCGTTGTCCTTAGCCATTCCCCAACATCCCTCGAGAATGTTTACAGATCTCACCGGAGGAAACTGACTGATTATTCCATCCTTATCAGAACTCTTACAGTGTCCTCGAGAGCGTTCATTGCTCACCGCTCTCATCGTCTCCCCCCCTCTGCAGAATGTCTACGTCACTATGTGCTTGTTTGTGCGAAGTGTTTTTTAATATTAGAGTTTTTCTTCTCAGCCAAGAAGAAAAGTCTAATAGGAATTATTTTGCCTCCAATTCTTACATGTCCAGTTGTACTACTTTTTGTCTGTCTAAACAGATCTCACTTGTAAATGAGTCTTCTAGGCTCAGTGTGACTTATCTGTCTAAATAAAGGTTGAATGAATTTTCTCCAACACAGTGTGTTCTTGTTTAACGAACACTCATTGTTCTTCACTTGTTCTTCTTCAGTCTCAACTGGGCCGAACCACTAACATCTACAATCTGCAGAGTCAGTCTCATTTACTCAGACGGTTCTGGTCCGCCTTATTAAGGCAGTTAACGAGTTCTGTGCTGTGAACCGATTGATGGAGGGGAAGTTAATTAAGACAAGAGCAGGGAGGCGCGTTTCAGCGTGTCGGTCATTTACGCCTAATTTTTCTTTTTCAACAGTAAAATTTTTTTTTTTTTGTAAAACTCTTCTCTTATTCAAAGGATCAGGCTGGAATGTATAGTGTCACTCAGGATTCAAACTTTCAGAAGAAATGTTAAAATCAAATAATTTGAGCTGAAACTAAAAACAAGTAGGTTCTGTTAAACTTTTTGATTATCTTTTAGATTTATTAAATTTCAGAATGACTTCACTTCCTGTTTGTTATTGCACACCACAGAAAGATGTTGTCTGAAAGTTGAGCAGCTGCAGATGAGGTCCAGATGTTGGTTTCACCAGCAGGTTGATGATGTCATATCTGGAGGTCCAACGCATCACAAGTCGCCGACTGAGGTGGCGTCCCGAACTCTAGGTGGAGCTGTCCGTGGCTGCGAGTGCGAGACAAACGTAGAGATGGTAGAGCGAAACGCTGGGTCCGCCGGGTCCGACAGAACCGCCCGTCTGCAGAAAAATAACAAACTTCATTCAGCCGAGTCACCAGGTTACATGATCATCACTAAAAATAATTATTAAAGCAAAACATATCAGAATAACTATAATCCTAAGAACAAAAACCGTAATGGTAAAAAGAAAGATCCCAGTTTTTCCCCACAGAACCACAAAGGTGTGGTTTCCTGTTTGACTTTAACCAAGCTGGTTTATACAAAATAAAAGCCAAAGCTATCCATCCATCATCTTTACCCGCTTCTTCCTTTTTGGGTCAAAGGGGTCACTGTGCCCATGTCCAGCAGTCACTGCGTGAGAGGCGGGGGACACAGTGGACAGGTCCATCACAGGGACACGGAGACAAACGAGACAAACAACCATTCACTCTCTCGCTCACACTCTCTCGCTCACACTCTCTCGCTCACACTCTCTCGCTCACAACTAGGGGCAATTTAGAGTTACCTATCAGCCTAACATGCATGTTTACAACTTTACTGATACAGAGTTTCCACAAACTATAAAACCATTTTTATTTCACCCCAAAACATTTTTCTCTGACCTGACTGAGAGTCGGGTTTATAGAAAACGTCAGCGTTGCCGGTCCAGTACTGAACGGCTGTCCTCCCGTGATAATCTCTGATGTTGGTTTTAGCATCTGTTGAAGAGAGAAAACATCCTAATTTTTTCAGACAGATTATAATCTAAAACAGCTGAGTCCGCAATAATCACTCAACAGTTTTCTTGTTTTTAATTTTGCCGTATGGTTGTCACTGTCAAACAACTTGTGTAAAATACATCGAGAACTCTTGAAACTCCTTCAAAAACATTGTTCTTTGTTATCTTCGTCAGCTACATATAGTTTTATCTTCTTAAGCACTTTTTTCACTTTTAGCTAGCCTGTTGCTACATTTAGCTATCCACTTGTAACATTCTGCAGTCATTCAACATCACTGTGATTTGACGAAAAGTTGCAGTTCTTTCATCAGACGTTTCCAGGTGTAGGTACTGTTTTTGTGCGTGTGTGTTTGGTTTGTGGTTCTGTTCTGAAGATCAGCTGGTGTTTGTAGGTCTGATCTGATGAACTTCTTGATGTCTGGGTTGCAGGAAGTAAAATAAGGAAATGTGCGTCTCCTGTTGGTGTCCACCTGAGGAGACAGGAGGCTGAGCGATGCTGCTAACGCATGGTTGTCGCGGTAACCAACCCTGGTCATTACATACTGTTTACTTGTGTTTTAAAGTTTGTAACTTCCTATAAAACAAATATCCCATCCCAAACACACACACACACACATCTCTTCCAAACTAGCTTTGTGCTAACAATTTAGCTTCAACGTGTTGACAGTGCCACTTACCTTATATCAAGACTCATAAACAATGGTGAACAATGATCCTGCTTTTATTGGGGCATGTACACTGTGCAGGTACACACTGTGGTACACACTGCAGATAAACTGCTGTACACACTGTGGTACACACTGCAGATAAACTGCTGTACACTCTGTGGTACACACTGCAGATAAACTGCTGTACACTCTGTGGTACACAATGCAGGTACACTCTGTGGTACACACTGCAGGTACACTCTGTGGTACACACTGCAGGTATACTCTGTGGTACACACTGCAGGTACACTCTGTGGTACACACTGCAGGTACACTATGTAGGGACACTGTGTGGTACACACTGCAGGTACACTATATAGGTACACTCTGTGGTACACACTGCAAGTATACTCTGTAGGTGCACACTGCAGGTACACTCTGTGGTACACACTGCAGGTACACTGTGTGGTACACACTGCAGGTACACAGTGTGGTACACACTGCAGGTACACTATATGGTACACACTGCAGGTACACTCTGTGGTACACACTGCAGGTATACTCTGTGGTACACACTGCAGGTACACTATGTAGGTACACTCTGTGGTACACACTGCAGGTACATTCTGTGGTACACACTGCAGGTACATTCTGTGGTACACACTGCAGGTACACTCTGTGGTACACACTGCAGGTACACTCTGTGGTACACACTGCAGGTACACTCTGTGGTACACACTGCAGGTA